ATACACTCAGTTCCAAAGGTATTGAGGCAAACGTTTGGTATTAGTACAGAGATACTACTTGAATTAGATCATCAAACTTTTCACTGTTGTATAATTTAATTATCCAGTTATTAATCACATTAAAGTATTTTTTAAAATAATGATCAGTAAATAAATTTTTAGTTGTTTTAGAAAACGTCCCGAAAAAAACTTTTTTATCTGTAGCAAAGTCAGTATTATTAAAACGCCATTTTGTAGTACTCGATGATAGAATTCATTTGATATGCTACACGACCCATTTGACTATTAGACTTGACCATAATTACGCAAAATCAAAAGTGGTCAAAAAAAGTAAATTGATTTCACACGACCTCTATAAGAGTTACGGGTATAAATGATACGTTTTTGAAACTCATTTTAAAACGGGTTTCAAATTTATGTTATACGGTCTTGCTGTAAGCTTTAATATTTTTTTGTATTTTAAAATTTGATATTTTTGGCTATTTTTGTTGCTTAATTGCTGCTATGTCTAAAAGTCAAATGAGATGTATAGCATATCAAATTAATACATTCGGTGTGTACTATAAAATGATGTTATAATAATACTTAGTTTTCTAGGAGTTAAGTTTTTTGAGACCAAACAATGACCAACCTCTCCCATAGACCTAATGCTAAAAAATGTAAAAATTATTCTAATAATTGGTCAAAAATACAATTAAACTTTATTACAAAGTAATTTTTATTAATCATTGCAATCATTTACTTGCAACTACAAAAGAATTTCCCCTTAATTTTGTTAATTTGCTATGAATTTCACTTTTGCGTAAATACTTTTGATTCACTTCTAATGGAATCCTATGGAATTCTACTGCCTCAATACCTTTGGAACTCAGTGTATGTGCAACTGTAATTTGAATAGTTTTATGGTACAACGTTATTTGTAGCATTACTTCTCACCCATACAACAACGTCTGCATACAATTGTGTAATTCATTTGATGCACACATTCTTCTCACAATATTTAATCCTTAAGACTAAACCTGTGATCAACTCTAATATAGTCTATAGATTACTGTACGCATATATGAGAGCATATGTACACTTCAATATACTTATACACAATCTAATAGTAATACTATTAGTAGTTATTACCGTAGTAATAGTAATAGTAATAGTTAATATTAGTACTTTAATAGTAACACAATATTCTTATTAATTTCTACTAAAAAATAAATCTCCGTTTTATTGGATTAACATATATTTGAGTTCATAAATAGACAATTAATACAATATATTTTAAAATTAAGTTATGAATAGTTTAACAATTGAATTACTTTTATTAATATAATTCTATCGTTATTTTAAAACAAATAACATTTAATAATTAAAGCTAACACTAAGAACTAGAACTAGGTGTACATTAATGCCCAGGGTCACTCGGCACGTTGTAAAAGTGATTATACGCTCGTTTGCCTAACATGTAGATCATTCCGATGGTGAGGGAACCGACGGCCACTCCCTGTGCGGCCACACGAAGTTGGATGAGATAGAGTGAAATCGGCATATCGTGCGGCCGATACTTGAATCGATACGCGCCGTACAGTACGGCTGCCGTGAAACCCGTCATTGCTATACATGGCATACAAACACATCATTCATATATCATTCAAACAAAACCAATCAAATTCAATGAATCCGATAACTGATCCGTAAATCGGTTTTAACGGATCCACCGCTTAAGACGGGTTCAGACAAATTGCTGGCAATGATTACCGATTGGGAAGAATGGGTTGTCTTTAGTCTTTCGCGCTAATCGGGACTCGTTTTCGTCCGAATAGTAACTGACTTTCTGTGGATCTGTTGGTTGTGATGA